CTTTCTCAAATTCATTAACTTTTTTATGAAAGTTATCTCCCCTTATTTGTTCATCAAACCAAAGACGTTCTTGTTCAGACCATTTTACATAAAGTACATTAAGTATTTTCTGTATAAGTGTTACCTCATCAAGGTAGACTTTATTATAGACAAAACATATCTCAGTGTTTGGATGTAATAGATGAAAGTTCATATGCCTTGATTCATACTTTAAAAACTGAAATATATTTTTAAATGAGGTTTTATCTCATTACCTAATTGTAGCTTCAGCGAACTGGATATTTAATCTCTTAATGTTTCACATGTGTTAACTCGTTTCATATTCTGAATCCAGCAACTATTAATAAAAGTATAGGGATAAAAAAAAATGTACCTTTCTAAGAACTGTCTTGTGCTACCAAAATCACAACAGTAATTGTATATAAATTCAGTTTTTATTAGCCTTTTTGACATTACAAGCTTTTTAATATTTTAAGCTGAATTTTTGTTTTTGTATTAATAACTATATTTTAAAGCAAATAAAACATTTTCTATATTTTGTGATACGGTTGAATACCTGAGCAGATGAGAGAGAAGAAACAAATTTGTTTTCATTAATCTGCCTATTTTGGCCATTTTTATTATATGGGTTCTCCTTAATTTTTCTTTTTTCATTAAAAGTGGGAAGGGGACATAACTCTCACTGAAAAGTGCTTAACAGCCATAAAATCATACAATTTTTATCATTCACGTTCTTCAAGGTTTTGTCAAGTTGTTTTTTTATTTGTTTTTCTTTTAATAATATTCAACAGAAAATATTTCCATATTGCAATCTAAAAAAAAAAAATAATGCATTCTTCAAATACAAATTCACAAAAGTTCTTTGCAAATTGGATCAGGTCTTTATCACATTTTATTTATACAAAATTGGGAAGTGGCTGTAGTGAAGGTGTTGGTTGTGGACAATTTTAAACCAAAATGGAAGTGACAAATAGAAGTATAAAATTTAAAATTCCTTTTCTCCAATAAATGGCAACTACGGTTTTTCTTGGGTAATTTTTTTCTTTTTGTAGTTTAATTTTTAATTCCTTTGCTTTAGTGAAAATTTAATGGAATGATGCATTGCAAAACTGTATTCACCAAATTATTGTTGTTTCTTTTTGTTTTTGTCTCTGTCAACTTTTTGTGGCCTTCATGTGATTTCTTCTTATTGGTCTCATCACCAATTTTTTTTCCTTTTTCTTTAAGTTGTGTAATTCAATTTTACTTTTTATTTCAATTTATTTCAGTGAATTGAACATTATTTACTATATTTTTTTTTAATTTTATTTGCTTAATAAATTATATTTTTGAACATTAAAAAAACATTAACTTTATTCTTTCATAAAATCTTTAATAAGAATTTAAAAATCGTCTCCGGAAAAATCATATTACCAGGAATGGAGTTTTTTTTTTTTTTATGTACATTTTAGTTGTTCTCATTTTCATTTATTAAATAGTCTTCTTCTTTTACTATACTCTTGTAAAGCCTTTACTATCTGACTAGATGTATTTTTTGTTAAGACTACTTAAGCAACTTTGATATAACTCTTATAGGAAATATATAACTCCACTTTTCAGTGAAGCAATTGGTTGAAAGTTAATAACTGTTTGATTTGATGTCATAAACTTTATATCAGAGATGAAGTATTCATTAAAATATAGGGACATATTTTCTTTAATATTCATCCTTAAAGAAATTGCATCATTTTGCTCTTGAACTGGGTCCTCTTCTCTCATAATAAATGTCTTGTTACTTCTGGCTTTCCAATTTTTTGTAAGTCCTCCTCTGTAGTTCCTGACTTTAAGAATTCTGGGAAACCATCTGACCCCTTGAATTATTACTCTATTAGTATCTTAACCGCTTCTTGGCAAAGTATTAGAGACTCTAATCAACACCAAATTGGTTAAGCATCTTACTTCACATAACCTTTTTGGATGAGCAATAAGGCTTTCATTTCTTTAGCTCTACCACTGATGTGTTAACAGCCAACACTGTATTTGTCTATGAAGCTTTAGATAAGAATAGTGAAGTTTGGACTGTAGTCTTAAATATCTCAAAAGCGTTCTATAAGATTTGGCATATATTTGCTTTCTGCACAAACTCAAGGGCTACAGTATCTCTGAAAAATATTTGATCTAATCTAATTGTTCCTAACAAATTGTGTAATGAAGGTAGTGTTGAATGAACTCATTTCTAGTTCATTTCATATTAATGCAGGCATCTCACAAGGCATACACTGTATCTGATCTTCATCAGGCATACACTATCTTCATCAATGACCTTCCACATGTCATCAGTTCAAAACTAGATATGCAGATGATTTACTCCTGTCTTAGTAACAAGTCCAACAGATCTAATAAAAAAAAACTGGCAACTGTTGTCAAAAGGTACTTCTAATCAGTGATTAACTGGGACAAGGAATTGCTTGTAAATTTTAATGCCCCTAAAACAAAACTGCTTTCATTTAATCACCACAGAACTTTTTCTGCCTGCTATCATCATGTCTGGCAATAAATTTCAGAAGAGCAACATTTTGCTCCTTCTGGCCTAATACTTTCATGTCAGTGGAGTGATTATATTGAATAAATTGCTAGATCTACTGATAGGAAAGTTGGTTTACTGTGTCGTACCAGACAGTTCTCAGCAGAATCCCTCTTGCACATTTATATCTACCATATCTGGTCTGGTGCTCTTACTACTTCTCTCGAGATTCTTGACAAAATTCAAAGGGTCTGTAATGTAATTGATCCTGACCTGGTATCTCAATTTCCGTCACTTTCCACCGCTGTAATGTGGCTTCCCTCTGTCTTTTCTACAGATATTTTCATGGCAATTGTTCTGATGAGCTGTTCTCTTTAGTGTCTCATCGGCAACTGCATCACCCCATTTTACTGTTGAACTAGCTAGATGCAGCTGTCAGTTCTATTTTACTAGTTTCTTTTCTCGACTCTGGAACTATCTTCAAATTTCTTGCTTCTCTGCCACCTACAATAATCAAAAATTTAAATGCAGCATCAATCACCATCTTCTGTCTTTCTGAATCCTATTCTTTTATTTTTCCTTTTCTCACTTCCTCTCATTAAAGTCTTCTCATTCTCTTTTGCTCTTTGTAATCCCCTATGTGACTTTGTTGCCTTCCTTAAGGTGAAACCATAAAAAATGTCATCAATACAAATATATCATTCATTTTAATGGATGTCTTTGTATCTCTATCTCCCCTTGTACTTTTTTTTTATTTTATTTGTCAATATAAATAACTTTCAACAGTTTGGTCAACAAACAACTCTGATTCCTAAAATTCTCGGTGATTTTTAATTTTGAAACCAGGTAGTTTTTTTGTTACTTTTTTTTTTTCTTTTATATCTTTAAGGCATTTAAATAAACATCAAACAGTTAGGGTGGGGAGTTATTAATTTTCCTTTTCTTTTTGCCAAGGAAATTGTTAGTGCCATATTAGGTGGTTTGTTATATTTCTTAAGGTAGCGGGAGTTTCTACCTCCCCTTCAAGTAACATGCAACAGGCTGTACTGGGTTACATGTTACCAGCAGCAAGCAAACCCATTCTATTGTGATGGACAGTTCCATGTCTTTACCAAAAATATAAATGTGAAGTAAAGTAGCTGGAATTTCAACAGAATTCATTGATTCCATTTTCTGAATTGTTAACTATTAGGCCAACTCCACAACATAAAATAGGATATATTGGGATTTTTCATTTAAAGGGGGGGGGATTGTGTCTACCATATTTTCTCTAGTTTTAATACTTGCAATTCATTGCTTAAATCTAGTATTTTTATTTTAATCTTTATATAATTCTTTTTTATGTTTATTTTATTGACTATATATTGTGTATATTTTAATTTTTTTTTTTTTTTTTAAACTTGCTTTGTCAATTTACATAAATCATTTTTCATTCCACTCAAATCAGTTTTCTTTGTAAGGGCAGAAATCTATAACAATTTTTTTATCATCAATTTTACATTTTAAATATGACTAGTTTCTTTAAAATCTCTGCACACATGGAAAGATCTGTGGTTATTTTCATGTCCCTCCCATTACAAGCTAATCTCTGTCTATAATTTTAAATTATGGAAGCCTTTTTAGAATTCTATTTTTCTTACTGAGAAAATATCTAAAATGCTGTTTGTGTGTGCATTTCATTTCTTTTCTTTTTTTTTTTCCTTATCTCCACGATGACAAAAATAAATTGAACAAGACAGGGTGGAACTAACAAAATAAATTTAACAATAATTTTGACTGTTTATGAAAACTTGGTTCTGGTAAGAACTAAGGAAATGCTATGCTGTATTGATAATTTTTTCTTATTTAAAATTTTTGACAGCATTAACCTCTTCAGACAAAGCAGCAGGAATCTAAAAACAAGACTGACTGACTGTTCAGAAGAAAGAATGAAATGTTTTAATTCTCCAAAATTTCATGGAACAGCAATAAACTATCAGTTGTAACAAATATGTATTCAGAATGTTTGTAGAGTTAAAGATACTATTACAGATTTTGTCATGCTTTCAAATCCTTCATTTGGATTTTTTTTAATTTATTATATATTAAAATAATTTTAACTGTATAAAGTGGCCAAGTATTATCACACTGACCAATAGCTTTCTCTATATGGACATGGGAACAGCAATAAACTAATAAATTCTATCACATGTAACAGATTTGTTAAAATTTGATCCCAAACTAATATCGCAAATTAATTTTTTAGTCAAGAAAAAATGTGGCTTAATCTTTTATTCTTTGGGCTTCCATATGTTAAAATTATTGGTTTGGGTTTCATGAAAATGTTCCAAAATTTATTACTCTAAATTCACACATTTTATTCCATACATTTCAGTCCAATTTTTACTTATTTACTGAAGAAACCTTTTAGTAATAACTCTGAGATATTATGAATGCTGTATAAAATAGGTTCTTTCAAACCTTAACAGCCAAACATGTGTATTTTTCTTTCCTTCAGAAAATGATCTGTTTGAAGCTACAGCACTGTATGACTTTGAGGGCAGAAGTGGACGAGAGTTATCATTTAAAAAAGGGGAAACTTTGGTGATTTTTAAACAAGTATCCGATGACTGGTGGGAAGGATGCTTTAATGGAAAGGAAGGTCTTATACCAGACAAATATGTAACACTTAAAACTGGGTAAGTAACATTCTAGGATTTTATTTTTACATTCATTTGATTGACTTATTTCTGCAAAGAGATATACAGAATTTATTATATATACAAATAATCTTAACAATGTCATGTTATAATCTTCTGTTATAACTACAATGGAATGTCAGTTATCAGGATATAAGTCAGTAGTATTTTGTTTGAACAACTGACCTGATCATAAAAATGGTAGCCATATTGAATACACAAAAAATTGCCTTTGAATGGTTTGCTTTTATTCAATCAATAAAATAATTAAAAAGAGAAGATTGCTTAAAAAATTGTGATTTTACATTAGATATAAAATTCATTGAATTGGGAGTTTAATTGTTCTTTATTTGTTTTTCATTTTTTTAACATTAAAATTATTTCAGCACTGTTTAAAGTGGCTGACTCAGATCAAGCAACAAAACAGCATCAAACTCCATTTGCAACAGATGCATAACAAGAATAGTCATAGTTTCACAGTTGATTTATAGTAAATCTGATATATTTATTTTCCTTCATGATTCTTTCAAGTTACATAACTGTTTTAGATTTTATGGAAATATATTTCTTCATTTTATGATTAGGATTGCGATTTCACTCAAAGAAGTTGTTACTGAAAATTTAAAAAATAATAATAATAAAATGAATAAATAAATAATAATAGTACCCGTCTCAGTTTGATTTGATATGACAAAATTTAAATTTGATATAATTTCACTTGTAGAAAATTTGGTGACAAAAAGTTTGTGAAAAATATTTTTTTTTATTGACAATAAGATTTTATTTGGTAATTTTGGCTTAATTTTCTGCATTTTCCTAAAAGCAAAGCAATTTTCTTTTATATTACTTACATTTTTTTTCTATCCAATGTCACTGTTTTAAATTTCTTGTGACAAAGAAAGACTATATTTTGTTGAGATAATCTTAATTTTAAATTATTTCAAACCTGCTTAACATGACTGGTTGTCATCAAACCAATCAACAGATTTCCTTTTACATAAATGGAAGTATCAATAAACTCCAATACATAACAGATTTGTACTTAAGACAGTCATAAAATTAAATATTCATCAGACTTGGAAATTTTATTTGGTTAATCCCAAAATATTTGGGTAACTGACATTCCACTGTATATTTTTCTCTTTACAAATACTGAAGAAAAAAAATGGAAAATATTGAAAGTATTTGAAGATTGATCATTTTAATGTTTTTTTTTTTTAAAGATGATATCTACAAATATTTTTCTAATATTTAAAGAAAAAACTCAAAAAAACAAAGTTATATAAAGCATGCCTTGAGTGGCTTTCTAGTGCTTAGAAAGTGGTAAATATTGTTGACTGTGGTTGCTTGACTTGTATATGATTTGCTTTTTATTCTCTCAACAAGAATAAATCAATTATCAACTTCCATATCTTTTTCTAAAGTTAAAAGAATTCTTCCATGAAGCTTCATTCTTTAATCATTTTTATCTTTACATTCAGAAAGTCAACTTAAATCAATAACCAGTTTCCTTTTTTGTGTTTCAAATAAATTCAAAGATGAAAATAGTCAAGTGATTTGAATGATTGATACTTTTTTAGCTTGCATAAAACTTTGTTTTATAACCAAATAAAAGCAATGCATACTTATACTAATTAAATATATTCCAGGAAGTGAGTTCTTGAAATGTTTATATTGTTTAAAATTCACTTTCTTTTCAAATGCAGTTCCCAATTTCTTCATGAAGAGATCATTGCTCCTCTCTGATTGGTCAATTTCAGATCATTGCTCTTCTCTGATTGGTCAATTTCTAATCCTAGCATGGCCAGCCAGTGGGAATTAACAGATATGTCAGTATATGTGGAAACGTTAATATTAAAACTAAGACAGTAGAGAGAAAAAACAAATAGTATCTAACATTATGAACAATAACAATTGCTGAACAAGCTAAGTGACCAAAGTGTAAAACATGTTATTTTGGCAAGAGAAACTTAATTCCTTAAATCCCAAGTTGTTTTCTAAAGTGTTTAATTCTGGATATTCTTTTTCACAACCCCCTTGTCCACATGCATTTTTAGATCTGAACTAAATTGTTGTACAAGAAATTATCTCCGGTTATTTCCAAGTATGATTTAATGCAAGGGTTTCCAAACTACTGTGGACCACATCCTGTCCCACCTGATTTTGTTTTTGCAAATGTCACATTTCTCTTTGGTTCTAACTCCTGCTGATTATATCATAAATCCAAATAAAATCTATTTATTTACTTGTAAAACTGTTTTTTCTTTGGCTATCAAAAATGTTTAAAATCTATAATGTGGTCCTTGTATTGAGAGGTTTGGTGACAGATGATCTGAAGCACTTCAACAATAGCAATAAAAAATTTGTTTTGAATTTATTTAAATATTTACATACCTTTTTATATTTTGTTGCTCTCGGATGTTTGTGCAAAAGTTTTGCGTTTTTCTTATTTAGTACTGATCTGGAAAAGATGATAAAAATTTTAAGTATTTTTTGAATTTTGAAAAAACTTTTGAATTTAGAAAGTTTAAATTATGATTTTTTTTTTTTTTTTTTTTTTTTTTTTTGCTTAACTGGCATTCTTTTATTTGATGCTTTTGTTTATGAAAATTAACATTTTTATATAAATTTCAGCCTAATTAAAATTGCAAATTTAATATTCATTAAAAAAAATGTTTAGTTTAGAGGATTTTTGTCTTGTGATATTTATAATAAAACCATTCAGATAATTGCCAAATTCTTATTCATTATTACTAAAAGAATTTGCATTAAAAGATTAGATGGAATGGCTGATAATTAGTAGAAAGGACCCTCAAATTTGTGATCTTGTGCCTTATGAAGCTTAGTCCAGCAGGTCCTCACTTAACATTGCTGATAGATTCTTAGCAAGTATAACTTCAAATAAATTATAAAGTGAAATAAATTTAACTATTGGCTCAATGGTATAAACAAGACCTGAGTTCCTATCATATATTCCTAGTCACATAAACATTTTTTTTTTTCACCTATAGACAACATTGAGTGTAAAGCACACATTTTGCAGTTGTTATAACAGAAAGAAATCAGGAGTTATGTATTTGCAAAGTGAACATTATAAGAAGACCTACCTTAGAATGAGAATGAATGCTGTCTGGTGTGATTAGCAGGAATATTTTCACATTGCATCATTTGTTGTTATTCTTTCATATGATTGTCATATATTTGACAAATTTTTATTTTAAAATATTTGCTTATATTTCACTTTGTTTTTTTCTTTCTTTCTAATATCATCATGAAACATTAAGTTTGGACCTGATTGGAAGAGTGCTTATATTTTGTGGCCTTGTGCCATTGATAGTAATAGGAAATATTGGAATCTGGATAAAATCCATAAAAATACAATTCTCAGAATGGATTAATTGAAAGTTTGAATACAGATTTAACTATTCAAATTTGTGCTTTGAGCTGCATTTTGGATCCAAAGCATCAAAGTGTACATTTTTGTATTTGAAAATGGATTCTGTAGAGCCTATTGGGACCACAAATTTTGATCAATATAAGCACTTATTCCTTTCTACTAGGTTTGTTTAAAAAGGACAAAAATATTATATACATTTGTTTTGATTCTGGCATAATTGATTCTACTAAGCCAATGTTCTATTAGGTTGTGTCATAAATAATTTTTGTTTTTATTTATCAACTTTATTCTTCAAAAAGTAAAGTACACTTTATTCAATATTTTAGTAATGACTTGTTCTTGTATATCAGGCAGCTCTTCAATACCTTCTGAGTAAAATTCAACAGGTTTTGATGTGAAAGTTTTTCACAATCTCTTTAATATGGGTTTCCATTAGAAAAAGTTTTCTTCCATCAAAGTGTTTTGCAGTGATCATGAACAGTAATAATCAGTTGGTGCAAGGTTAGGTGAATATGGCTGGTGGATTAGAAACAGACCAACTGACTTCCAAATTCTTTTCATCTTATTCTTATTGTATGTGGTTTTGCATTCTCATAAAAAAGAATAACATTTTTTTTCTTTTAATCCACTGTGTATGCTGCCACTATAGTGTAAAAACTAAGCTATGTTGGTAGACTCCAAATTTATTTTTAACTGCCAACTATTCTTAACTACTCAGCATGATACAGTTGTGATACATTTTACAAAATAGAAATTACTTATGACTCAACCTAATATTTAACCAGAATCCACTGTAAATATTTAATGAATGACTACATTCATTTGAGAAATAAGTTTTCCAAAAATGCAACTGGTTACTATAATTTGTGTGTGTAAGTTGAAATTTATAAAAAAATACACTTGGCTAATACATAATCATAATAAAAATTTTTTTTAAAAAAAGAGCTGGTTTTTATGATTTGTGCTTCCTTTGAAATATTTAATAACTTAAAGTTAGGTTTGGATATAATTATAAGAGACAAAATTTGTTCATGTAAACAAGATAGAAAATGATTGTCAAAAAATTCTGAAGGCTATCTATGTTGTATTTAAAACTGATATAAAAAGTTTGTCAGACATAGATAAACATGCCCGCAATAAGACGTAGTGTCAAAAGGATGGTTTTTTTCCCTTAACACCACTATTAGTTTAACTACCTTCACTCCTCGGCAATGTTTATTGTTTTAAAAAAAGTGATGATTAGAATTGGAATAAAATCTAAACATATAAAAGTGAATTTATAAATTTTCTTTGTTTTTAAGAATTGACAACAAAAATAATAAACACTATTTGATTGTTTATTTACACTATTTATTATATTTATTAGAATGGTTGATAAAATATCAACTAATTGTTAATTTATTTGAACTTGATAAAATGGTAAATAAGGAATTCCTTATAAGTTGGTTCACATATTTTAATAATTTAGTAAATGTTTATAAATTTATGAATAAAAAATTGTTTTCACATTTATTTCTTTACAAATTGGTAAATGATAAATATTGTATTGCATTAGTTCTTATTACTTTTAGAATGTTGTATATATATTATTCCTGTAAATAAA